TATCCTAATGATTTTTGGCATAAAAGAAAAATCGATGATTTTGACCCATACAATGTATTGTTGGCTAGTGCTACAAATATACCTGTGCTACTTATGACTGGTTTTGTGCTCCAGGGTCACATATTATTATTATTATTATTATTATTATTATTATTATCCAACTTGCTCTGCTGAACCCCAAGAGTGTATAATGGTAAAACATGCTACTGCAAGACAAAAGGGAACCTGTATTAGGTCTAGACAGGTGGTGCTGGGGAGGAGGAGGGGCTAGAAAATAAAGGCAAGCATAGATAGAAAGAAGCGATTGATTGGCTGCAGAACCGGAGACAAGGCAGCCAGTCAGCGGCATGGAAGACTTTCATGACTGAACTTATTTATCATTATTAATAACAATGTAGTATTTACTTGGTATTCATAAATAACAAAGTATTTACACAAAAATGTGCAGTCACATTAGCAACGTTTTATTAAAAAAAAAAGGGTATATATTCTTGTCAATAGAGTGGTGATGTATGAAGAAGTCACTTTCAAACCAAGCAGTTTTCTGGTGGTCAATACAGCAAATTTGCATGACAGTTTGAAATCAGTGCAAAATTTGCGTGGGAATTTTTTGCCCTCATGTAAAATTCCTATTGCATATATTCCTATTGAAATGACTGGATTTTTTTTTTTATTCACTAGACCACAGTGAATGTGAACCATATGCTATTATTTTATGTTGTTTGGTAATTTAAGATGATTGGAATAAATCATACATCATAAAATCATACATTGTATTACATGTATTTTCACTGTGATACAGTAATTAAAATCCTATAAGAATCACTATTGAGAACAGTGGGAATAGCCAAAAGGAGAAAGTGATGCAGAAGCGTGAGAAATGATGCAGGAAGTCAGCGGTGGGTGTGAGGCCTGTATGAGCTCATCCAAACGCAGCACAAGATACACTCTTGACCTCTGACTGAGCTTTGGAAAAAGAAAAAAGGGGAAAGTCTGCTTTTAAATGAGTCATGGTAAACACCCATCACAGCTTACAGGCAGCGAGACGCATGGAATAAAGTGACTGGCACCTCTCTGTGATGGAAAAAAAGGCTCTACTTACTGAAAAAATAACACTGAAATATTAAATAACTGATAAATCTGCTAGATACTAATTTGGGTCAAATCGAACTTTTCACACTATACTGAACAAACTCTTGTTTTAGTTATTTGCACATGGAAGTCCTCCGTTAGCAGTTATTAAAGAATACATATAGCTAGTGAAAGGGCCTTGTGTGTACAATCACAACCTTGTGTGCTCACACAATTAAAGCTCACAGAAATGCTCCATTCATAGTTGTGGATGTTGATGTTACTGTAGGACTGATTTCCTAAATTGGCATAATAAAGGTCATCGTGACGCTTTTGTGTGAGCTGTGTCTGTTCTGTCAGAGCTTTGGACATGAGTCACGAATCTCATACCAAAATAAATACATCCAGAAAAATCCAACGTGATGTTTTATAGGAAAACACAGTTGGTCAATATATTTTAAGCATAAAATATTCACAAGAGGATAAGGGAGACAAGTTTAGTTGTCACATGGAGAAGTTGTTACATCTCAGTAAAGGTTTTGAGTCAAAATTCCAATTGCAGGAATGTTTTCACATTGTAAATCTTTTTTTTTTTTTTTTTAAGTTTGTTCTCCAAACTTTTATTCAAAATGAAAAGCATTATATTTTGTAATACCTTTTGAACAAGTGAGCACAATAGAAGAGTTAACTTTGCAATGAATGTAAATGTTAACCTAAATTTTAATAATGTAAGAGGTTGGGGCAAGTTATTTATGTTTATGTTGTCGTTTTATTCATTACAGTTGATTAATTGCTGTAATTTACTGTAATTACGTAATCAGTTTCTTTAAACTACAATGGGATTAAAAAAACTGTTTTTGTTTTTTTCTCTCTCTCTATCTCTCTCTCTTTTAACTTTTTTAATGTGTAGCCTATTAAGTACACTGTTAAAAATGATTGTGAATTTAACGGTAAAATACTGTAAAAATGCTACAGTAAAAACCTGTTAAATGGTTAACGGTAAATTCCCCTACTATATACGGTGAAAAACTGTATTGGACATTAATTTTATGGTAGTATACCGTTTTTGGAAGTGAAAAAGACCGTATAATTTACAGTGAATAACCGTAAATTGACATTTCCAGAATTCCCTACATTACATTTCAAATTTGATGTTTTTTTGTTGAAATAACTACGTTTCTTCTGAGTTTTTTCTTATCAGTTTTGTATATTAGGGTTGTGTGTTACACCTAATGTTGTTAAATGAATGTTTATTGCATTATTTCAGTTTCATGTGTGTTACCGTGATGGTGTTTAGTGTTTGTGTGAATGACGCTGTGCACCTTCTATATATGTTATTATTTAGAAGCTGCTTGTGATGGGCTTTGGTTCATCATGTGACTTTCTCATCACCTCCTGCATTTGGAGGTTATCAGTGTATTACAAAGATACAAAACAGATTTCAGTACTTCAATAGGTTGGTATATTAACATTATATCAGTTAATTAAATTACAGTATTTAACTGTAAATTTAAGTTAAAACCGTAAAACCTAAAACGTTGCTACCGTATTTTTTACAGTAAAATTCCGACATCCACAGCTGCCGTTTTTTTACCGTAAATTTTACGGATTTTTTTTTACAGTGTAGCCTTGTTCCTCTAATATATAATATTTCTGTATATTCAGCATTCTTACTGATTCGAGGCTCAAAGAATATATCAAAGTTCAACATATGTTACAAATCTTTTCAGTTACACTCTATTTTAAGGTGTCCTTGTTACAGTGTAATTATACATTTAAGTTCTGAGTAATATTAATTTACTACATGTACTTACTATATATGGTTAGGGTTAGGATTAGGATTTGGCTTTGGGTTACTTGCATGTAACTCTGCATGATTTATTGTTATTAGTAAATGCATGTGTAACAAGGACACCTTAAAATAAAGTGTTACCAATCTTTTTTTTCCTGCTCAATAATGATGTAAAATCTTCAATAAAAGACTTGAATGTGCCTAAACAGAAAGTACATTTCAAAAATCAGCTGCAAACCCCACAAAATATTCACTAGAATAAAAAGTATTCGAGGTAACCCGGTCTTCCTATATAAAGTATAAAATGTTATGTATGAGTATTGATAATGATAAATAAATGCTTGAACAATATATAAGCTTGTCTAAGACATTAGTTAGTCTTGCCCTCGCTGATCTTGGAACATGCTATAACATGCTTTCACCACTAGAGGGCCTTGAAGACTTGGGTCTTTGTAGTTTATCTTTGTAGTAAATCTGTAGTTTAGTAAGAAAACAAGTTGCATTTTGATGGTGGGGGTGTCTGCACTCTTGAGCGAGACTCATGGTTAGACGCCTTCAGTTAATTGTTCTCCACTGATCACTAATTAGGCTTGCACCAATACAGTATAAATACATTCAACTGCAGGCAACCCCTCATTACCAAGCTATGATTAAAACACACAATTGTACTTGTTGCCCACAGATGTTAAAGAAATAGTTCACCCACGGTGAAAATACTGTCATTATGTACTTAACCTTGTGTGAAATAAGTGTGCTCCGCTTTTCAAGTTCATGTTTATGAGTTGGAAAGTCATAATTATGACGTCAATTGTGTTCAAATCAGTTCGGTTGCATAAGCTGCTGGTGAACCTTCTATATAAAACTATAAGACTCTACTTCTACAAAATGACAAAGAATGTGCATCAAGTGGCAGAGGATTTCGTATTTTCTACTCCTTTATAAAAGTTGCAATGCCTATACCCAAAACATGCTTTTAAAAAGAGTATTTGTTATGAAAAGAATATACTTAAGTGCAAACTGAACGTAATGTTTTCAGACACTTAACTGCATGTTAATTGCAATTAAATGAAAATGTATTACAGTTTAAATTCAAAATAAATGCAAGTAGCTTAATGTTAGTGTGCTGTTTTTGACTCACTAGGATTTAGTAAATATTTAATCAAAATATGTAATTTCATAATTCTATTGTCTTTTAAAGTTTGTTAAGGTGCACTGATAAACATTTAGGATAAACTAAAATGTACTTCAATATCATTTCTATTCAAACTTGTATTTTATTTATTGAAATATATTAGTAATACACATTTGTAAAGATGAACTAGCAATTTAGTACATTCAAAATACTGTATATTATCTTATATTTGAATGCCCTTTCATTAATATTATATTATCTGCAAGTACAATTTTTTTTTTAAATCTATTTTTTAGGTTTGAAGATTTGACACTACAATGCAAAACAATTAAATGCAGCTATTTTTCAAAAGGGTTTTTTTTTTTTACCTGTCTAACTGCACAATTTTATAGTTAGTTGCATTTTCATTATTTGCATTAGTATTGTTTTTTATTTCTCCCCTTCAACCTATTTTAAGTTGCAAGCCTACACTGTAGAACCACTGGTTTAGATGAATCCAATTAGCTGCCTCAGAACTAGCTCTGGGTGCTTTTGTATTTTACCAAGCAGTTTTATTTTTCAATGGAAGCTGTTATTAATAACTCTAAAATTGCAATTTGTCAAATATAAGAGTAATGCTGCATTTCCATAAAATCAAGAAAAATGTGTGTCGAGTGTGTCGTCAACTAAGCTTACATCAGCATACAGCGGTTACTGGCAACAGCGTAATAACAGTGCAAAGGGTAGGTTGAATTTGTTTTTTGGCTCTGATTTTAATGCCAATTTATGAGACTGTACAAATATTGCATGCACGTAGTGACATCACTGAAAAACCCATTAATAACAAGCATGTCACATTTCAGTAATGCATGATAGGCCACCCTGAGTAGACATTAACCCACAATTATCTGCACTCTTCCCCAAGCATTATACGCCATGGAGATCAATGTCGAGAAGGACCGGAAAACGGGCACCACCAAGATCCTCTCGGCCTCGGCGGTCAGCCCGCGGGACGCTCACCAGAGGGGCGTCAAAGTCTACGACGACGGCTGCAAAGTGATCTACGAGGTGCGTTCTGGGGGATCTACTACACTGGAGAACGGCACGCACCCCTGGAGTCCCGGCGAGGTGGACGAGCTCATGCAGCAAGTCGGCCAGTCCCAAGCACGAAGCGATGGAGCCCGGGTCACTGTCACACCGGCTGAGTCCCAGCCAACGGGAGAACAGCTGAGCTCCAAGCAAGACAAAAAACAATCCCCTGGGAAAGGCTACGAAGGCGAGGTAACGCAGACTCCACAAGCCTCCGCCGACAAACCAGTGACCATGATCTTCATGGGCTACCACAGCGTCGAGGATGAGGAGGAATCCAAGAAGCTGCTTGGCTTTGATGGCACCATCAAGGCCGAGATCGTCCTCATCGACGAGGACGATGAGAAATCTCTCCGGGAGAAGACCGTCACTGATATCTCCACCATCGACGGCAACGCCGCAGACCTCGTGTCGGGCCGGCCTCTGTCCGACACCACCGAACTCTCTTCAGAAGGCAAGGATGAAAGCTCGACCAAGGAACTGCCACCCACAGGTATTGAAAAGAAAAAACGCTGCCAGTGCTGTGCTGTCATGTGACCTTTCTCCCGCAACTTCTCTTTCCTGGAGCACATTCACCAAGGCTCTGCCTTCCTTAAAAACCAATCTCACCCTGTTACTAACAGCACCTTCACCTCTGTGACGTGAGAGAAGTCCGCTTCTCGCTCTTTCTGACCTGTTTTCCACAGATCGTCTGGTTCTCTTGATGTAAGGTTGTACGATTCAGAGGGAACATCTTTAGGAGAAGATCTGCTGGCCGATAGCAAAACATACACTCTTAAAAATGAAAGTTCTTTGTTGGAACCTTAGACCTTTAGCATCCATGGAAACTTTCCATTGTACAAAAGGTTCTTCACAAAAAGAAAAATGGTTATTTTAAGAACTTTAAGAGGAGGAACCCAAAACGGTTCTTCTATGGCATCACTGCGAAAAAAAACACCTTTTGGAACCATCATTTTTAAGAGTGTCTGTGAAAGGTTTGTACCTTTTATTATTTTCCTTTATTTAATTATCCTTCGAGATGGCATATAGATGAAAAAGCCAAAAAAATTATATGTAAATGTACAACAAAATCAATAGAAGACTTCACCCTAGTTGTCCAATATAAGGTTAGATCATTTCATAGAACTTCTTACAATGGTGTAGCATAGATTACAAAGATATGGTCCATAAATGTCTATCCCATTTGATATTTCATACAATATGGAAACAAAAAGTAGATCCATGCAACATAAGGATGTTTGACCATGTTGTGCAGTAGCCTTACGAAGCCTTCAAATTACCTTAAATGTTGGTTGTCCAAGATATTTTTGTTTACAGATCCAGATTTATTTTTCCCAACAAAAATGGAGAAAATGTACATATGCTCACTTCATTACACAAACTGATTTACTGAAAGACATTTGCCCTTCTGTGCCTCTGTATCCTGATATATAACAGGATTTTTACCATTTTTCATGTTTTAAGCTGCAAAAAGACAGTGGTTATTAAATAGAAAAAAAATCAGATCAGCTGGATCTTTCAAAGAGCTGCTCAGAATGGGCTCGGCACTGCCATATGTGTGAATGCACATCTTAGAGAATGAAAAGCATTGGTGTGACTCTAGATTACATGCACTGTGGAGGTAAACAAGGTGCTACATATATTTGGATCTATTTGATATTTAGCTGAAAATGCAGTGCACAATTTGTGCAAATAGTGTTCCAGCAAACCAATCTTTATTTAAAACTATTAACTGACACTCAAATTCAAACCATGCATCATCTTAGGCATTACTTCACTTTGATGTTAAATAGCAAATATTTTGTGAGAGAAAAATATTAAGAATGATATTAAGAATCTGTGTTCAAAGAAACGTTACTATTGTACATAAATAGCCCACTAGTGCTTATTTTTCATAATCAAATATGAAGTCACAGAGATTACGGCTGCATATGTATAATATGCCTGTAGATAAAAGAATGTACATATATTACACTCAAAATGAGTGTTTAATCCACATTTATTTCTATAGTGGTTGAAATCTGCAAGTGTTTTTAATAAATGCACATTGTTTCACACTTCAATACAATACCGATAAATCCCAAGACTTCTCAGAGTGATCATAAAGGACATATTTCTGAGTAAATTTTTCTCCTTTCACTAATACCAGCTGCCTTGCTGTTTCTGTATTCATAAATCTTGCCGCATTACAGAAGAACTTGTTTTAGTGCCATACATTTTTGTAAAAATAATGTTCAGATAGGAAAATTAAAAGCCAGCTTACCTTATATTTACAATGAACAAAGATATTAAAAAGGAAATGAAAAGTCATCTTCCCTTTCAGGCATAACTTAAAACATGAATTACATTTCACCCAAACTTAATTGAAGATAAACCTAGAAAAAATCATTAATTAGTGTAAGTACAATTATGCATGTACAAAACATTTCATTAAAAAAAATTAGTAATTTTTTGTCACATTTTGGAATTTTTTTACAAGACCTTACCGTTTTTGACGATTGTTTTTACAATAAAAAATGTATTTAAAACAGTAATAGCCAAAATAATAAAGTTAAATATGCAGGCCTAGTTCATGTATAATGGCCAATGACATTCATTATGCTTTGACATGCTACAGAGAACTTACTGGAACTTTTTTTGTTTTTGTCTTTGTCATAAGAGTGTGCTCGTGTAGCTACAAATCAACTACAGGCAATGTCATGTATGAAGGTCGCACCTGAAATGATTCTGTAATCGGTGCCAAAACAAACTCAAAGTTCACCTATTCAAGCTTAAAGACCCCATTAAAATTGTTTGAGGAGTACGGTTTCCTTTCATGAGTTGACATATTTCCTACTGAAACAGGAAGTTGGGCAGGATGTTAGCTGATGTCACAGCCCACCAATCCCAAAGAGTTGGGGCTTTTGCCCTGTTAGTTTTGGCTCTTAGCCCCTACTGATGCTGTAACTGCACCAACAACTCCATCTCATGAGGAAACTATTCTACGAGTTGGTGATTTTGCATAACTTTATACATTCTGATTCATATGAAAATTAATTAGGGAAATGTATTTATTAGGGGGGGACAGATCATACGAAACATACAAATAAGACACGAGTACAACCTTACATGTACTTATTTCTGTCAAACTGCCCAAATATAAAATAGAATTGAATTCTCATGAGACTCTATTGAATTTTCCATGCAGATGTCAATTAATTAGTCATTTCGCTCAAACAAAATTAAATTTCAGAACTGAATTCCCATGAGCAAAGAAGGCAGGTTGCATGCTTCATAACATGCGTCAACCGAGTAACTACCATTGATGTGAATGATAACAGATAGCTCAAGTATGCTTGAGCAGAACCTTGATGTGCTACATGCTATTGCAGGTGGGGTAACACTTTATTTCGATAGTCCACTTTAGACATTCTATTAACAGTAAGTAACTTTGCAACTACATGTCAACTAGCAGTTAGTAGAGTATTAGTAGACTGTCTGCTTAATATCTTCTAACACTTTCTTTGTCAACTTATTCTACTAACCCTAAACCTACCCTAAGTCTACTCTGAGAGTTGGTTGACATGTAGTTGCAAATTAATGAGAATTAGTTGACATGTAGTTACAAAGTTACTTATAGTTAATAAAATGTCTGAAGTGGACTATCGAAATAAAGTGTAACCGCAGGTGGCATTCCGGCAGAGGTATATTCTCATTAATGAGGATTTTACTGGGCAGAAACAAGTCATCAATATTTTTCCACAGCAAATTTGAATGCATTTATCTGGTAAATGTTTGTTTTTTAACCTTTAGGAGTACACTAGCGTAGATGGCCATGACGCTAACAAACATGGATTTTTATTTTTTTATTCATGGGGTCTTTAAGGTTGAGCATTTCATGTTTGAATCTGTTTACACAATGTAGGAATACCAGCTCCATAAAACATTAATGCTCCCAGAGTACGGCTAGTGTCAGTGTTGTCTATCAGGATCTTTCAGCCTCAAACTGCCAAACAGCTCTTATTCAGTTTTGGACTTTAATGTGGTGGTGTGGCTCCCATATGAGCTCTGATCTGCCATGAAATTACTGCTGTGCTTCTTCATTGAGATTCTGCTGTATTTTCCTGAAGTGTAATTTTTAATTGTTCCACTTTGCTTATACCTTTTTTAATGATGATAACATTCTCTGTCTGTAACATATCATTCTTTCTTCTCTCTCACACACTCTCTCCTGTACGGACTGCCAGCAGCACTGCTGTAACATTGGCTTTAAGTTATTTCTTTTTCCTTTGTATGGTATACTTAGTCCAATAAACAGCATTTTTTTCCCAACGTGCCTACCCTCCTGTGTCTGTGCTATGGTTCTTTCTCTAACTAATGTCTCATCATCGGGACACTACTAGCACTTTCCCTAGCCGTAATCTCATCCCTCACCCATTTCTGGGCAGCACTAACTCCAGCAGGGTCTGTGTCTTTAGCTCGTCTCTCCAGATGTGAATGAGATGTGCTGATGTGTCTGCCCCGCTTCACAGATTGCATGAACAGCAAGTTTAACCCTCACCAAATCTGTTCCCTCGCTCACAATTAAAGGCTGACACCCACTGAGGAGATCTGAGTTTGCTACAGGTTTGTGAGAGTCGTCATATCGGTAGGTTTAGAAACCACTGAGAAAGCAGAAATAGTGGCATTTTCCAAATGAGTAGTATATTTGTCTTGGTTTCCAGAAAAAAATAAATAAATAAAAAAAAAAAAATTATA